GGCCACGGTAGGGCCACTTCCAATCTGGCTTAGCCATAGGATTCAGTAGGGTCCAAACCAGAATGTTCCTCAGGCAAGGCCAAGGAGGGATAAGAAACCAGAGGAGGAGACGCAGCAGAAGGCTGACCAACAAAATCCAGAGGCCCCAAAAGCCACAAGGGGAATGTGGTGAGTTGCCAAACCAGAGAGCGCAGAGGCAAATATCAAAGCCAGGGAGCACAGCCAGGAATCCCAGACCAGGGAGATGAAGAGAAAGCAAGTGGGCAGATCACAGCTGGGGGGGGGGGGGCAGGCCAGGCGGGAGCATGCATCCGAGGCTTGCTTTAATGTGCCTCCAGAGCCAAGCTGGGGTGGGCGAGTCAAGGTCAGAGGGGCCGTGGAGGGCTGGACAGAATGGGATTTTCTGGAGCTCCGTGTTTCTCAGAGCAGAACCTGGGAAGGACGTGGGAGTGGGAGGCACATGGCTGGCTGCAAGGGATGTGAGAACGTGGGTGAGCAGCTCGAAGCCTGGACACCTGGTCTGTGCACACCCTCACCTAAGTTGGTATACACAAATCCCAGCATCGGTCTCAGGACTGGGGGCCGGATTTCAAGAAAGGAATTGGAAAGAAGTCAGCAAAGCCTTCACTGAAGGCAAAGGTGATAAATAGCACATATCTATAATCTCAATCTTTGAAAGCGTCAAGAGTTAAAGGTCACCTTCAGCTAAATAGTGAGAAAGTGAGTGTGAAGCCAACCCGAGCTATGTGAGATCCTGTCTCTTTTGTTTGTTTTGTTTTTTGTTTTTCAAGACAGGGTTTCTCTGTGTAGCTTTGGAGCCTGTCCTGGAGCTCACTCTGTAGGCCAGGCTAGCCTCAAACTCACCCCACCTATATCTGCCTCCCGAGTGCTGGGATTAAAGAATTACGCCACCACCACCTGGCCGGAGATACTGTCTCAAAACAATGTTACTGAAGGGGAAAGACAGAATGAAAATATGGTGGCAAATTTCTAATTTCCAGCTTGGCCTCGATGGTGGTGGTGGTGGTGGTGGTGTAGGGGGTGGGGGTGGGGGAGTAGGGGCTGAAAAAAAAACAACTAATTCTTATAAAAAAAATTGCAAGGTCATAAGACACTCTGTAGACTCGGAGTAATTATCTGATGACTCCTGATTACTTCTAGGATGGGCTTGCGAGCCCGCCAGCTGGCAGACACATTTCCCTGGAATACAGCTGGTCACTGATGTCGCCTTCCCTTATTCTTCTCCCCCGCCTCCTGTACACCACACCTCTCTACAGCAGCAGACTTCCTTTAGACACAAGGCGATTGCTGTACCAAAATATTGCACTGTTTAAAATAACCCTGGACTTTTGAATTATAGCTTGTTTTTATGTTCAAACTATCTGAGTATCATTTCTCCTGCAGTTGTACATAAAATGTTTTTACATTTAAAAAAAGGACAAATACTATAGAATTGTATTACATGAAATATATAAAATATACAAATTCATAGAGACAGAAAGATTAGATGTTATCTCAAGATGGAGAAGAAAGGAATATAGAGCAATAATTTCCTAAGTACAGAACCTCTGTTTTGTGTGATGGAAAAGCCCCACAAATGGACAGTAGTATCAGGACATAATATCATGAATGTAATAAATCAATATAATTAATGTAATTAATGAATATCATAAATATAATTATTGAATGAATATTGCAAATGTAATCAATGAATACCATAAATGTAATTAATATCATGAGTGTAATTAATGAATATCATGAGTGTAATTAAAAATAATAAATAAATAAATAAAATGCCTTCTTCATCTTGCTTTAATGTTTTGTTTTGTTTCCCTGGATACATGGCAGGGCCACATACGCTAGGCAAGTGTTCTATCTACTACTGAACTACTCCTGCCTCTAGTATCCTGCTGGTATCCTCTCTGGGCTTCCCACCCTCCCGGCCAGCTTCAGGCAAGCCCTGACCACCCAGGATCAGGCCACCTGCATTCACGAGGGCTGGCTGAGGAGCCAGACCAAGCGGAGGTAGAAAGGCCTGTAGTGTACTTACCGGGAGTGTAACATTCCTAGTCACTGTGATAAAACACCAAAGAGGAGAAGCAAAGTATGGTCTGAGGGGCTGCAGTCTGTAGTGGGAGATACAGGAACAAGAACTGCTCACGCCAGGAGCCGTGGAGCTGGTGACATCGCTTGGTCACCTCTAGGCAGATGAGGACACAGACAGCTTGGGATGGAAGTGTGCTGACCTGGAACTTTCAAGCCCTGACTCTAGGACACTACTGCTGCCAGCAAGGTTCTGGAACCTTCCAGAACAGTGCCACCAACCAGCTGGGGACCAAGTGTCCAAACACATAGCCCTGTAGGGACATTTCACATTCAAACCATACTAGCTGAGGTTAGTTACCGATTTCCCGGGCCTCTTCATCCACGAAGAGAATGTCTGCAGGAGCACAGGACAGCTGTGGACCTCAGGCAAGAAAATGTTTTACAAGTGCTTTGTAAAGTGAAAAGTGCAAGGAAGAGCGGAGCGTGGTAGTGCATGTCTGTGATGGAAGCCTTTGGAACGCTGAGGCAGGATGGCAGGTTTTGTCTCAAAAGGTGTAGGTAGGTACCACCATCATCATCGTCGTCGTCGTCATCATCATCATCATCATCATCGTCTTTATCATCATCATCGTCTTTATGCCTTAACTGTGTTATCATCATCATCATCATCGTCTTTATCATCATCATCGTCTTTATGCCTTAACTGTGTTGCCTCCAAATCTGCTACCAGACTGAACACTGCTGTGTGTTAGAATTCAGTTTGACTGCTAATTCCAAAAACTACAATAATGAAAGTGACAAACATAAAAATCCATCCCTCACATGAAATCTTAGAGCTGTGTAACTCTCTTTTGTTTTTCTGCTGTATTGTGAGTAGTTTCCAGTCGAAGGTCACCTGAGTCCAGTGTAGCTACACAAAATCCAGCCATCACAGCACATTCCCAACAACTCCTCAGAACAAAGAGCATACTCCCTCCCTTTTAGGTCATTCCTGGAAATTTCATTTCTGCTTACCTCTAGTAGCCAAACTTAGTCACATAACCACATCGGACTGCAAAGGAAGCTAGGAAATATGGTTTTTCTGAGTGACCACGTGTCTAGATAAAAAACAGAGGGGTCTAGTCCTTTTATTTGAAAAGGAGGTGGCAGTCTCTGTCAGAAGTGGTCACTTCTCCATCCTCACCTCCCTGTGAGCAGCAGCAGGCCTCCCGTGACCCCAAAACAGTTCCTTTACTACTGAGAGCAAATCACACTCCTGCTTCTCCTCCTCCTCCTCTGTCTGTAAACGCACCGCGTCCCAGCACAGGGTTGGCCAGAGCTTCTCTTCTCAGGCCCGACTCTCCTCTCAGTCATGACCCAACTCCTGACTCAAATAAGAATCTGGGTGTCTGTCCTTCCTGAGTCTGGCCCAGGGAGGAAGGTGCCCACCAAAAGGCAGGCCCTGTCATCCAGGCAAGGTCTCCTGCCTCCCTGCTCAGGACAGGGAGCAAAGGGAGAGAGTGCAGCAGGTACAAGTGGGGTCCTGTGTCAGCCCCTCTGAACCCCAAACTAGTGCAGTTTAGCACAGAACAGTAGTTGATGCGAATTCCGTGTTTGGTAGTGTTGTGGGATGATGGCTGTTATGAATTATTACACGGGGGACCCCCGAGGGTATCCTGCGCATGCCAGGAGACATGCCTGCATGCCCCGCAGATGCAGCAGCAGGCTGGCGGGTGACCCACTCCATGTGGGCGTGGTGGCGGGTGGACGTTCACGACCCAGATGCTACATCCCCACAGAGATGGTTTATTATAATAGAGAGACGAAGAGAGGATAGGAAAGAAGAAAGAGAGGGAAAGAGAGGGGTCAAGGGGTGCGCACCTCGTGGGAGTGGAAGGAGTGGGGGAGGGGAGGGGACGACCGAGTTTTTCCTTAAGACGAGGCTTTAAGTCAGGATGCAGGGCGGCAATGGCCAGCCTCTTACCATGCCCTATTCAAAAAGCATTCTAACTCTTCAGCTCTGAGTTCCGTTCCTGCTCCCACTGGTTTGGTTCAGCACCGGCCAGTCCCAGAGTGCATCTGCCCTGTGCGCATGGCTGGTTTGTGTGATAGTCTTTGTGAATAGTCTCAGAACTCCACTCCTGCACAAAGAAATCACATGCGCGCAGACCTCTGTGTTTGTAGCAGTCTTTACTGAAGATTTGAAGAGATGAAGGGGGTTTACATAGAAAAAAGTACAAAAGCCTTAAAGCTGAATATCAGACATCTGTGGGTGTAAAAAACATCATTTCCACAGTCTGGGCTCTGCCTCGCCAGAAAGGCCCGTGCCCATCTGCGCCCTTTCTTACTCACGAATATATATATACAAAAGCCGAGTTCAGACACTTTTTAAAGAATTTTTATTTCAGAGATCATTTTCACTGTGTAGTTCATGCTGGCCTCAATTTCCTCCTGAGTGTGTGTTGGAGCGGAGAATAAAAGTATGCACCCCGGCACCTGGCTGGGCATATTAGTTAACCACATTCTCTATATGGAGTCAAGTCTTTGAGGAAAAGGTAATTTTCTTTCTGATCTGTAAGATCACAAGTTATCCAAGGTGCCACTGCCCCCTGTTACCATAGCTCTAAGAAAGAAAATGGGTTTTCAGCAGGGGTGAGATGCCGGTGGCCACTGGGCAGAACCCCTGAGAGAAGCCTACACTGTTCTGTTGTCTCTCTTCCGGTGCCTGGGTAGTCAAGGTCTCAGGAAGCTCCCTCCTGTCACAGCCTACCCTCAGCCCTTCTGCATTCAGCCCCCAGCCTGGGAAAGAACGGGTGCACCACAGACCAGAGATATAAGACCACACCTCGGGCCCCTTCACCTGTAGGTCTGCCTACGACACCGCTACTTGTACACACAAACACATTAGTTCCTTTTATGCATGGGGGGGAGGGGGTTGTGGGTTTCTTTATATTTTATTTATTTTTAATTATTGGGTTTTGTTTTGGTTTTGTGCTTGTGTTTGTTTGTCTGGTCAGGACACATTCTTTCCATTCCTCTGACACTCGGTTGGTACAATCTGCTGTTAGTGTCAGACCCTGTGAGGCAGGAAGCCCTTCGCCTGTCCCTACCGCCGCCATTTCCGGCTAACTAGAATACACCAGGAGGGTTTTCACTCCCAGGGTAGAGGGCTCTCTGTTCCCAGGACTTGGGGACCCTTCGTCATCTCGCAGGCCCGGTGACACGGGTAGCCCTGTCTGGTCCACTCTCCCTTGCCTATCACAGGGCTGCCAAGTAGAACATGCCCAGGAAACAAAGTTTCCACCCCCAAAGGCCGGGGGGAGCGTGCTGGATGGGTTCAGGAACCACCGCACTTGCTCCTTGGTAGACTCCAACAGCTCTAGGGCAGCTCTAAAAATAGCATCAAAGGAATGTACTCCCTTGCTGAACACCTCCAGGCCTCGCCACCACCCTGAGAGGACTCCAAAGTCCACATCCATCCGCACAGGGAGTGCAGGGGACTCGAAAGACGGAGCCACTGCCTTTCGACCTGCCATGCTGGCCGCAGGTATGTCCACCTTCTGTTGCTCAACATACCCCCGGGGCACACCCCTCCCCTCCCTGTCTCCAGGACTCTCCATTCTCCCTTGGAATGTTCCTTCGGATCCACTTGTGTGTAGTTCAAGAGTTAGTGCAGATTCTGGGCCTCAGCAGCCTCCCCTAAAGTGACGCTAACCTTGGTGCCCTTTTCTCCACAGCATTTCCCACTGCCCACAAGTCTCCTTAACTCACCTCCAGGCACCCCTTCCTTAGTCCAAAGCAAGCTCAGAGCCACCCTGGCTGTTTTGCTCATGGACACATTCCCGGGGCCTGACACATCTCAGAAATTAAACAACTACTCACAAAGCAAAAGAAAAAAATGCACCAACAACCAAGCAACTTCCTTAAGCTCTCCGGGCCTCACTTTCTTAATCTTCAAAATAGGACTGGCAGGCACAGTGGTGAGCACCCATAGTCCCAGCTCCTCAGGAAGCTGAGGCAGGAGGATCACTGGAGATATTAGCCCAGACCAGAGAGGGTGAGCTCATCTAAAAAAAGAAAAAAAAGAAAAAACCACGGCGCCAGCACAGTATCATCACGTGGCGTGGAGGTGCCCTAGTCCAGGGCCACACTGAGTCAAGTGGAGAGGAAGCTAAGACTACTGTCTTCTGTGGCGAGTCTCCGTGAGGCCACTGAGGTCAGTTCGCACAGGAAAAACTCATGACCCACTCTGGGACCCGACATCTGACCTGCTTCGCACAGGAGAGGGTTGTGTCCTTCCTGTCCCTAGTGGCTGCCCACATAAAAGTCTGAAGTGTCTGAGGCTGAGGCTTTCCAAGAATGCTGCTCCCAGGCAGCATGCACAGGGGGAGAGGGCCGGGGCTAAGATCTGAGGGAGCTGCAAACACAGGCCTGCACATACATGGAGGGGTGAATGCTCACCACAGGGCTGGGGATGCAGCAGTCTTTCTGGGACCCTTGACCCCCTTGACAGCAGGATCTCTACACAGTGCAGTAGGAAGCAGGTCCGCAGACACCATCCTAACATGGCGGGGAGGGATGGGTTAAATTGCTTTGGGTTAAGGAGAGGGAATGTGGGGGCTACAGAAAGACCGGGTGACTTGTCTGTATTCCTCATCTGAGATGCTGCCCGACTCCTGCCCTATGCTTGTGTGCATACTTCTGGCACAGTTAACTCAGCCTGTGCCAAGCCCTGGGGTCCACCCCAGCACCAAAAACCCCACAGAAATAGCATCAATAAATACTAGCCATTCTCCTCTCAGAACTTGTTCCCTCAAGGGCTATTTCTTCCCTGAGACCCCTGGATGCCCCCTATCTGAAGGGCAGTTGCGTAGGATCACACCACCACACCCCCCTCCACCCCAGTGCATAGCTCCCGAGTCGGGCTCCTCAGCTAGAGCCGAAGCTCCCACGGTTAGTACCGATGCATATTTATTGAACATGTGGGTGTGCTCAGCACTATATGAGGCACCGTTCATACACGAGGTAGGTGAATGTTATACCCATTTTACAGATGGGAAAACTGAGGCACCATGACATTAACACACCAGAGGCTGCACATCAAAGTCAGGTTAGACTGATTCCAGAGCCCTCGTTTCTCACCTCTGTAGCATCCCCTCAATGCTGCCCTGCCCATTTCTACATCACCACAGATACATCCCTGAGTTCTGGGCACACACAAACATGCCCAGGTTGGATCTTTCTTCCGGAGGCTCCACCTGGGGCCGTAAACACCAGGAAGCCTTGAGAGGGCAGCAGACAGAGAGCCAGATCCAAGCCTTCCAGAGGGAGGGAAGCAAGGGGTTGGGGCTGAGGACCAGATCATTTAACTGGCACAGTACCCAGCTACTTTTGTTTTGTTTGTTTTTCAAGACAAAGTTTCTCTGTGTAGCTCTGGCTGTCCTGGAACTCAAAGATCCGCCAGCCTCTGCCTCCCAAGTGCTGGGTTAAAGGCGTGCGCCACCACCGCCCGGCATGACCCAGGTACTTTACAGACATCCTCTCCTCACCAGCGCTGAGCAGAGAGGAAAGGGCACTAACAGGGAAGCTGAGGAGCCTGACAGGGCCAAGCAGCGCCCACGCTGGCCCTGAAGTGGGATTCCCTACCTCCGAGCCTTGTCTGGAGCCACCGCCCCCTGCAGGGCCACTGCAGGGCCACCTGAGTAACTCTTACCCAGTCTCCAGCCAATGACTCTGTTGCAGCCACATCTAAATCCAGCCCTGTGAGCAGGGGTGGAGCCTTCTGCTACAGCTATCCTCAGGCAGTCATGGCCAGGCTGACAGTGCACACTTGGTCATGCACAGCGTCTCTGGCTGTGCGACCCACATGCCATCTGTCCTCAGGCCACCAGTGTGACCGACAGCAGAATGTTCCGGCAGCTGAGAAGGGATCACTGGGTCTTGAGCTTTGGTGTCTGGTGATGAGTGCCTGGCTGAGTCCACTGGGGTTCTGGGTCCTGGACCATCTGGAGGCATCTCTGGGCTTGCTTCCAGCTTGCTTCCTGGCGCCCCCTTCTCCCCTGCCCTTCTGGGCTCATACAGCCAGACCAGCTCCTCTGAAAACACTCGGCACCTCGGGTTTATTGGGGGCTGGGCCCTGCAAGATCAGGCCGTTTTCTCCTCTGCTCAGCTCTCTCGGCACTTCCGGGGGCCGTCCCTGAAGATCCCCTCCCAGGTCCCCATTTCCTGGATTTGTCCCCCCACCATCGTTCTCCAAGTCTCTCATTCTTTCACGAGCCGGTAGATGTGGTGCTGAGTCCCGTGTTCGCTGGCTGACACTTCGAAGACATACGCAATACACAGCAAGGTCTCCTGCGTGTCTCGGTTGGTGATCACCTGTCGGTGAGACGGAGGTGAGGTGTCAAAGCCCTGGGTAGGGCGGCCCCTGGTGCCACCCACCCGCGCACCACACCCTGGGCACCTGCTCCACTTCATACCTGCAGGATGGTGAAGTTCTCCAGCACGCTGTTCATCATATACTTCTCAGGTAGGTGCTTCAGCTTGTGGATAAAGTTGATCATGTACTCACAGAGCGGCGACCGGTGGATTCGGTACAGATAGCGGCCATTGTCATAGCGAGCATACTCTGTCTGTAGAACCCCAGGGACAACGGAGGCTTAGACTCCCTTCACCCCTTACCCAAGCCCAGTTTGGCAAGGATGTACAAAAACCCATTCACCGCCCATGGGAAGCGGGGGCAGAAGATGGCCCAGGAGCAGAGCCATCCTCTGAGGTTTCTGGACGTTAGGCCGGGCCTCTCCTCTCTGTCACTGACATGGCAGGCAGACACTTCCAGGAGAGGGACATGTAAAGACCTGGAAGCAGTGGCAATGAGCTGGGGCAGCTGCACGGGAGGCTGAGGTGAGGGAGGGCACCAGCACCTGTGCCGTGGGACTGCCACATGCGTGAAGCTTGGCGGTGGATGCTATTGGTACAGGAGCTGGATGGATGGCACATGGGACGATGACTGGATAGAGGCAGGAGCATCTCAAACCTTGATGAGTTTAATGATGGTCATAACTGTGGGAGCTTTGTAAAAACTGCCTTTGCTGGGGTAGGGCAGATGTGCCCTGGAGTTCATCTATAGCACCAAAACAGAACAAAACACAGACACAGACACAGACAGACACAGACACAGACAGACAGACAGACAGACAGACACACACACACACACACACACACACACACCAACTACTGGATTACATCCCCAAGATTGAACGAAGTTATACGAGTGGGGCTCAGGGGAGCTAACATGTGTCAAAAGCTTCCTGGCCATGGAACAGCTAGGGTTGGGACCCGGAAGCAAAGGTCACTTCCCAGGTCCTGCCAGGCACCTAGCTGCTTGACATGGGTGACTGTCAACTCCAGGTACAGAGGACACCATCAATGCAGACCCACGTGGGCCAGGAGGTGACCAGCCTGACATCACAGGGTCACAGACGTTAGAGCCACAGGTACGCTCTGGTGGAGGCTTTAGGGCCCTTTTGTCATTCTCATTACAAAATAAGAGCAGAAGCCGGGCGGTGGTGGCGCACGCCTTTAATCCCAGCACTCGGGAGGCAGAGCCAGGCGGATCTCTGTGAGTTCGAGGCCAGCCTGGGCTACCAAGTGAGTTCCAGGAAAGGCGCAAAGCTACACAGAGAAACCCTGTCTCAAAAAAAACCAAAAAAAAAAAAAAAAATAAGAGCAGAATGTCACAGCTATTGGGTCCAGTGGGTGGTGAAGACAACCTGCTAAGTGGAGGAAGTGGAGGGGTGGTTAACACAACTCCAACCAGGAAGTGGGGGTCAGGAGAGGTGTGCAGGGGTCAAACCCAGGTCCTCTTAGCTTGTGCTCACTACCAGCCTGCCTGCCTTTGCCAGGGTGAGTGGGAGAGAGGCAGAGAGTTCTGCCCAAGTGTAACGTCTCCAAGGTACTCCAAAACTGAAAAGCTGTGTGCTGCTGGGATGCCTGGGAAGGGGGATCTAAAGACTGTTTCAAAAAGGGGGAGGTGGGGACAAAGGACCGTATAGCTCAATGGTAGAGTACTTGCCTAGCAAATACCAGGCTCTTACAAAGGCCCAAACATCTGGACAAACAGGGACTCCACGAGCTTTCAGCACTCAAGGAGAAAAAGCAGGAAGCGAACAGACCCTGAACATCCATTCTCACTTGTCTCTGCCCCTAGAGAGAGCTGTGTGACTGAGATAGCCCACTCCTATTCTCCGGCCCAGCTGTCAGACTCAGATGGATTGGGGAGAAATCCTTGGGCTAGCCTGTGCTTTGGCCCTACTCTAGAAGATGTGGGATGCTTGCAAGAAAGGCTTGAAAGGAATCCTGACCAGGAAATTCAGCCAGGGCTCTGAGGCACAGATGGACAATTAAATCAGTAACTTACTAGAAGCTTCACACCCAACCCCAAACACACACACTTCCTGGAGGTGCACAGAAGCCACATGGGGCCCACCCTCAGCAACCCCGCCCCCAGGAGAGCTCCAGGAAAAGGGAGCACACGGGCCACCCCCTTGGCCCTGCACCCACGAGGTGGCCTCCTACCTCCACTTTCTCCACCACTTGCTTGCCAAAGGAGCAGACCTTAGTAGAACAGGTAATGATCATGTTCTCCAGGCTCTCGTACTGGCTCGAGACGCCATAGAAGGTGCTGCCCTCATCGTCAATGCTGGTGTTGAGGTCTGCCTGCCGGAGGAACAGGAAGACACAGTTGGGGTCCCAGTGCAGGTTCTCGTGAAGGGACTCTAGCCGGCCTGGGTGTGACAAACATGGCTGTGGCAGGCGCTGCCCTTCTCTCACGTTCCTCTGTCTTGCTAAAAACCATTAGATTACAGAAGGCTAGCCCCCAAGGTCTGTTCCCTCCTCCTGAGGCTGACTACCAAGGTCCAGCTGTCAAATATTAAAGTCCAGCAATCAAAAGCCCCCTTTGGCTGCCCTAATTAACCTGTCCAATCAAAATCCAACACCTCGTCCTAACACTGGGTTTCCCCTTTACCTTTATAAACAGACATTTGCCTATGGGCCACGTCTGTCTCCTCTCTATCCAGAGGCAGTCCTATGTCCCTCTGGAACAAATATCCCTTCCCTCCTCCCTTGTCCTCTGTCCCTGCCCTTTGTCTCTCTGAGGCAAATAAATCTCCTTTGTGCTGAGAACTTGATCTTGGGGTGTCTTGTGCCAATACTGGTCACTTCATCTTGGACGAGAGAACATGACTTTAAAAGAATGGGGGCAGGACATGGGTACAGCTCAGTGGGGCAGCCGGCTGTTGGCCTGGAAGGACCAAAACAAAAAACAAACAAACAAACAAAAAACAAAGAAGAAAGAAAAAAGAAAAAAAATTGGTACACAGCAAGCAAAAGAAAGCCTCTGCCACCCCCCACACCTGTGAGAAATAAGTCCACAGCTGCCCACATGGAGCCAGGCAATTACTTCTTGGTTGGATATTGTATAAATTACTTTGGGATTGCTGTGACTAAATACCACATACAAACAACCCAAGGGAGGTTTTTTTATCTTGCCTCTCTCAGTCCCTCAGAGCTGGGAAGGCATGGCAGAATGATCCCGAGGCTGTTCACACGGCATAGGACAGGAAGGAGAGAACACGAGCCCAAACCAGGAGTGGGTAGAACCTTCAAGGACTTGCCACTAGTGTCCTATTTCCAGCAGCAAGGCCACAACTCTTAAAAGCTCTACAGCCTTCCAGAGAGCCACAAGCTGAAGACCAAGCATCCCAAACGCAAGTCTGTCTGTAGGAGACACTGTAGATTCAAAGCCTATCCCTGGCCCAGAAAGGCTCGTATCCATCTTACGATACAAACAAAAACATGGAGTCAGAAGTGTCCAGAGTGCAAAGTCTCTTCTGAGGCAATCTGAGCCAATGACCCTGCAAAATCAGGAAGAAAAACCTCACACTTCCCATTCATCCTGGAACCGGGTAAACATTCCATGTCAAAAGGAGCGCAGCAAGAAGAAACTCGGGCACCGGAAAGACATGGCTCAACAGTTAAGAGCACTTGCTGCTCTTACAGAGAACCTGAGCTCAGCCCCCAGCACCCATGCTGGGCAGCTCACACTCTTATGTTCTCTTCTGGCCTCCATGCGCACCTGTACACGTGTGCTCACATACACACAGATATCCCTTCACGTGTAGCTGGCACTGAGACACCTATCAGAGAATCCAACCCTTCTATACATTGTGTGGCCTCACAGGCTTTTTTTAGAACCTAGATGCAAGCCCCATGGCCCTATAACTCATGCATTTTGTAGACTTGCAAAGCCAGCAAGCAGTGGATGATGGCAAGTTCTGCTGCTAACTCGAGAGGCAGCTGGGTCCCCACAGACATGACTCGGTGTCATCTGAGTGCCTATGTGGCTGAACTTGGTAAACAAGTTCCAGGACACCCTTTCAGCTCTTTGGTTTGGTTTGGGGGGTGTTCTTTTATTTTGGGGTGGGCTTTTTCTTATTTATTTTGTGTGTATGAGTACACCCATTCCAGAGGATGCATGTGGAGCCAAAGGACAACTTTTGGGTATTGGCTCCGTCCTTCCACCATGTACTTCCTGAGGATTGAACTCAGGTCATCAGCCTTGGAAGCAGGTGCATATACTCTCCGAGTCATCTCACTGGTCCTTAAATATTCTTTGTTTTAATTAAGGAATCCTTTCTAAAATTTATATATTTTTTGCGTGTATGTGGAAACAGGTGTTTGCCTGGCAGGGTTGGCCTGATTTTGCATGACATGATGACCTCTAACTCCATCCATTTCCCTACAGATGACTTACAGAAGGCTGATTCTTTGTTTTCTTTTTGTTTTTCTGAGACAAGGTCGGCTATGGAAGTTGGCTGTCCTGGAACTCACCATGTAGACCAGCCTGCCTCTGCCTCCTCCCAAGTGCTGGGATTAAAGGCCTGCACCACTCCGCCTGTCCAGAAGGCTGATTCTCATGGTGGGGCTTCTTCATCGACAACACAATGCAGAGGTAACTGGCACGTGGACCAGGGTGCAGGCTGTGAATGCAATGTGAGCTGCCAATCATGATGCAGGTTCTGAGACCCACAATGCTTCAGCAGGGAGCCCAGGGAAGGTCTGGGTAATATTTGAGCACAAGTGACAAGCAGTCTTACTCACGACCGCTAGGTGACGCTCAAGCACTGGTTTTCTCTCCTTTGGCTCCTTCCTTTCAACAGCAAAAATCTTTGTGTAAACTGACAAGGAAGTGTTAATTACCCTGTAATTAATGTGGCACAGAAAACATATTATGCAGGCACGTACGCACGCACACTCACAGACAGACAGACAGACAGACAGACAGACAGACAGAGACACACACACACACACACACACACACACACACACACTACTGAGAATGACTAGCCTTTACCATTATGGATGAACACAACATGCTGAGTGAAGAAAGCAATTATGGAACAGAATACAGAAATATTTTTAGGATGTCTCACTGCACTGAGCATGGGTTAAATGGAGCCATTCTTCAGGAGGAAGGAAAAACAGTTACAACAGCATCCAAGCCAATGTTTAGTCCCCTTACTAAACCCCCTCCACTCCCTACCCAGAATGGCTTCAGTCTCCCCATCCTGCCGCCATCATGACCCTGTAGGGGAGGGCAGCTGGGGAGTGTGGGTCAGCCATGGTCCAAGGTCTTCCTGTGACAAGTGAAGTGAACAAGGACCCGAACCCAGACTTTCTCTCACTTTCTCTAAGTCATATGACCATCCTAGAAGACCAAGTTTGTCAGAGTGGCCTGAAAAAGTTGAGAGACAGTTTGTGAGCTGAGAGTACACTGTGACTAGAACGGTAGGGCAGAAATATGGGCCAACTTTCTGGTTCAAAAACAACTGCCTGGAAAGGTAGAGGCTCTGAGGGATGAGGCCAGGGTGACAATACTCAGACAACATGTTACACTCCTTAACCTCACAGATCCTCCATACCCTCATGGTGTCTTTGTTTGAGCAAAGATTTTGTTATGTAGCCCAGGCCAATCTCCAATTTTATTCCTTCTGCCTTCTAAGTACTAGGATTACAGGCATCCATCTAACTTGTGCATCTTTTTTTTCTTTTAATTTTTTTTTCTTTAGGGCACCAGATCTCATTACAGATGGTTGAGAGCCATCATGTGGGTGCTGGGAATTGAACTCAGGACCTCTGGAAGCACAGCCAGTGCTCTTAACCTCTGAGCCATCTCTCCAGCCCCACTTGTACATCTTTTAATGATTCTTTCTTTCTTTCTTTCTTTCTTTCTTTCTTTCTTTCTTTCTTTCTTTCTTTCTTTCTTTCTTTCTTTCTTTCTTCCTTCCTTCCTTCCTT